ACCCTACACTCACTCACACCCACACTCATACCCACTCCCGCATCCACGTCACATCAATCTGTTGCACTGACAATTACTTGATTTCAATAAAATGTCCTAGGGAAAAGTTACCATTATTCACTTTTGAACCTTGTTTCATGCAACTTACAATTTTTGTAGATTGTTTCCTATCTAAAATGGAATATCCTACAAGTAATTTAGCAGAGGAATCTTACGATATTCGGAAACGAAGAAAAATAGTGTTTTATGTGCTGTTAGGAACTACATTTGTCATGGTATGTACGTCAATTAGTCTGTCGATTAACGGAAGAGACAGCATACAATGTGATTGTTATGATTCATGTTTTTATTGATAGTTTGTCACAATTCATCAGTGAAATTATTATAGTATTTATCAGACTAATATGTTTTACTGCTACGTTAGTCGTCGGCGAGTGCTTCCTATGCCAAAGATAATCAGTTGGATCATCTATGCGTAAATGAATATTGTTGTAAAGAGGTACACCGCGTGTGGATGTGGGTAAGTGTCAGTCGCGATAAAAATAAGACACAGACTAACAACTGAGAAACCTTAGAGTGATCGATATGTACAGTAATTAACCTACAAACTATATACCAACTCAAATATTCATATATCCATGATTTCATCAACATCCATTCACAAATTCACACACTATTTCGTCTGCGATGTATGAAAAGAACAACGATATATAATATTCTTTACATGCTTTCATTCTGTCTTAATAAAATTGATTTTATCTCATGTTTGAAGATTATGTCAATAAATAGAGAGATTTAGTTGATCATGATAACCTATAATTAGAGTTTGAATGGGTCTGTATTTGTGTACATGTATCTTTCTTTTAGTAATACTCCTGTATCCCACAAATCGATATTGATTGTGTCACAATGGCATCTTTCTGCATCATCTTTCAATGTAGTACTTCATGGATGCATAGTTTGTATTTTTAGTTTTATAAAATGTTTTTCAGTACTTTGGACTTTTTTCTTTTTGACCACTGTTGAGTTTATCAGTTCTCTTTCTCTATATCTAGTTGATAAAAATATTTTGCAAATAAACCATAAACTTTACTTGCATCCATTGCATTTTCTTCCTATCAAAAGTAGAGACACATCAAAGAAAGAAATACTCCAATAAAATTTTGTGGAATGAATGTATTGAATTGTTTTTACAACTTTCTATGATACATATCATCAAGAAACCTATTCACTTTTTCTTATCTTTATTATGGAGAAAGACAAATAATGCAACATGCTGTAATGAATGTTTCAAAAGTCGCAGTCTTTACTGTCTACTAAATGACGTAAACTAAGACTAGAAGACGTAAAAGCTAATCTTCTCGAATTTCGTGTGGCAAATATGTTATTCGCTAAAATATTTCTACAGAAATTTGAATTCAACAAAATGTAGAATGTATAAATGTTGATGTCGAATTAATAATAAGATACGCTCATCATGACTTTGAGTCATTGTTTCAATTCGATATTTTATCACTAAAAAAGAATATATTCTCATCTGAAACAATTAAAACCTTCGACTATCCAGGAATTCGAAACACTAGCGGAAAAGTATTTAAAAAATTATCGATGCTATTTGAGTAATCATAAAAAATAGACTCAATAGTTTTCTTCATACCTTGTATAAGTTGAATCATGTAATCTCTTGTTTCAAGCTGTTCTTCCTATGGTTTAACAGCAGCTTGTAAAGTCTTGCATTAGTACATGTCTAGTTGTTTATTCAATAGTTCAATTCTCTATTTACTCACAGTTGCGTTTGAACATTTCCACACTGAAGAATTTTAATGAGACACGAGTTTTCTCACCTTCATCTTCGATTTAAAGTATTGTGTTAATGTTAAAAGAATTTCATATAAGAGACTAGTCGAAAAAAGAATGACGAAGAGGTTACATAAAGATAAAGTGCGAGAATCAGAAATTATTGAAGTATTGAATGTAAATAACGAAAGAGTGCAGGTTTGGGATTGGGTTCTCTCTTAAACCACATCTATTATTCGAAGCAGTATATTTATTAGCAGAAAATAATAGATGATTGTAATGATCATTTTTATTTGCTATGTTTTCATTTATCAACAACAGATTAGAGTTAAAATGAAAGAATGATTCATTTTGAAAAACTTCTATTTAATTATACGATTAAACATGTTTCTGATAATATCTATTTCGAATTGAAATAAGTGCATGATCTATATTATTAATTCTTGTAAAAATATTTTGTTTTTATTAAATAAAAAATAAATAATTTTTAATAGTTAACAGAGTTCATATCAAGATTTGACTTTTTTTTCTCTTCATAAATCATAAAAAATCCATTTCATTGGAAAGTATTTGTAAAGAATATAAGCTGATCATACATGTTTTATTAATATCAGGTAGCAAAAAATGAATATAACTAACTTAGCTCATTTGATGAAGAAAAAAAAATTAATTGAGAAAGGTGTGAATGTGGGTGTTATTTTTCTTTCCACACTTACACCCCTAAAATGAAAGCCACACTTTTCCAATATTTAAATACACAAACATATACTTTGAAATATAGTATAATTCTCAAAGAAACTAAAAAACCCAATGGCCAAAAATTTGTCTGAAAATTATGATGCCACCGAGAAAATTGATATCTAACAAAATTTAACTGTTCGACAGACAAATCAAATATATTTTCTCAATTTCGAAGCTGAATTTTATACAATGGTAAAAAATATTTTTTTTAATTTGCACGTTTAACTTTTGAGAAAAAAAAATAATATATATTTTTTCTACAGTGTCGTTCAAACGATTAGTTCCGTAAAATGAACAATCCAACCTTCAGATTTTATCAGAATGCTTTTCTATCTACTGTCTAACGCAAACATTCCTAGACTGAACAGTAGATTTCCAAAAAAAAACCTAAGTTTTTCTGATGTTCGAAAAATATTTAATCAACAAAAAATAGTATATTCAGAACTGCATCGAATGATAATATACAACGCAAAACAATACTACAGAGAAAAATTTTCTCGATGTGCAGAGAAGGACTGAGCCCTCTCCAGGCCATTCCCTGATTCTGTCACTATTCATCTGTTCATTAAATTAGCAAAGATTAAGGTATTTAATATTTTATCTATTAATATGATTTATTTTTGTTCTTATCGGTGTTATACTAATTGTGATAAATTTTATGTTTGCAAATAAATAAATCAAATCATCTATTGTTGTTTTTTGTCATAGAATTATATGAATGCTGTATCTACATAATAGATAAAAATTGTTTTTCTTTTATTAAAAAAACAAAGAAACGAATTCTTTCAAATATATACACAAGAAGATAACTATCTTTAACAACTCTATTTCAAAATCTGCCATTGACTTAATTATATTTAATTTGGCAGATATTATGATATTATACTTCATCGAATATGAACTGTATCTTTCTTTCTTAAACACTCATGTATTGTTAAAATAAATTTCGAACGAAAATAACGTGATTTTAAACAATAAATATAAAAACCAATTCTAAAATAACGACTACTCCAAAGAAGCATTGATGTACATATATGATCAATTAATTGTTTATAAAGCATAATACTTGGACACTTCATAAAAGTCTGCTTCAGACTTTAAGTTTGATTTGTTGTCGTGTCCATAAGATCTTGGAGAAATATCGATAAAATATTCATGAGAGAATATTTTTATCTGATCCATCGCTTTTAAGTTCGGACTCAGTGCATAAGGTATAGTCCAATGAAATATGAAAAATCTCAAAATAATAAGTGTCTTTAAGTCTTCTGTTCAGAGTGGTAGGTTTTTACGGAATTTCAGCTTCGGACATTGTAAATACCAACAAATTGAATGACGGAATCTTGTCCTGAGATCTTATTCACAGACAGGTCTATTTACCAATAGAATGTCCTGAAAATTTCAACTCAAAAGAATATTTCCTTCTCAAGATATTAAAGTCCAAAAAAAACAGAAAACTGTAGAAACTTTCGTAGAATATGAATGACTTTCGGAAGTTTCATATTTCGAGGAGGAAATGTTCTTTCGAGCTGAAATTTTCAGGACATTCTATTAACAAATAGTTTTGTCTATGGAGGAAATTTCAAATCGAAATACTATCATTCGATTTATTAGTATTTACCATGGTCAAAGCTAAAATTTTAGTAAAATGTCTTTAACTCTGAACAGAAGATCTAAGGACACTGACCCTTTTAAGATTTCTCATATCTCATTAGATTCTACCTTATGCACAGAGTCCGAACTCAAAAGCGATTGATCAGCTGAAAACACCCCTTCGTCAGCCTGATATCTTGTCATAAAAACTTTGTTGATTCTAATAGATTAGCAAGGTAGTTAATTCGTCTATTTTTATGTAAATTCTTCATAATATTCATCAAGTTGAAAATTTCTATCGCCTGTATATCTGTAATTCTTTGTTTTTTTTTATACTGTATGAATATATGATACTGTTTACCATTATAAGTAATATCAATAAACTCAACAATTAATATTAATAATGGAATACTATTTGATATAGGTAATAATAAAACAAAAAAAGTAATCCAGTTGAAACTCGACATATGTCAATACGAATAAAAATTGTTAATGATAAAAGATTACCTATAAAATCACCTATATAAATGATTATTTCGAAAATAACTAGTACAACTATTTCTTGTTTTATAAGAGCACGAAACATTGAATTAGACATTTGTTCCAATGAATTAAAACTATATAGGTAATAAATGAAAACTGAATATTTAAACAATCATTAATCTTTGTTTTTATATTAAATGAAAAAAAGAATAGGTCACAAGAAAATTATCGCATTATAAGTCATTATATATTCAGATTGATAGTCGATTATGAAAGTGAGGTAATTCATAACTTGAATGACTCATTGATCCATTCAATCCATATTTTCGATAGAAATATATTATTTCACCAATAAGTAAAATACCAATTATTGTTATACCCAACCCCATACCTAATTGTGCTGCAACTCCAGGTGATGATTCACCTAAGTAAATAAGTGTGTAATATATTTTATAGTATTTTTTTATTACCTTTTGCATAATTTATGGTTGTTGTTGTTGTTGTTGTTGTTACATTTGCTGTATCTAATATTATAAACAATGAATTAATTGATAATCAATTGAAATAAACATACTATTGACTAGTTTGAAAAAAGAAAAATGTATTAATTATACAAACTGTTGATATATTACCTATTGAAGAAGTAATTGCTTCAGATGTTGTAGAAGAACTAGTTATTTCGGATGTTATAGAAGAACTAGCAGCTTCAGATGTTATAGAAGAACTAGTAGCTTCAGATATTATAGAAGAACCAGTTGCTTCAGATATTATAGAAGAACTAGTAGCTTCAGATGTTATAGAAGAACTAGTTACTTCAGATATTATAGAAGAACTAGCTGATATAGATGATGAAGGAAAAGATTCTGCCACTGTATTTGTAGTTACTGAAGTTATGTCCATTGAAGAAATCATTGTTGTTGATGAGATGAAAGTGGAACTGTTTGTTCCATAAGAGTCTGTCGATATCGATGTGCTTGTTGTTACAGACGTTGAATATGATGATGAAGATGGACTCGTTACAGTTGTATCTGAATTTGAGATAGTAGATGAAGTCAATCCTGTAGGCATCATAATCGATGAGATACTAGAATCCGATGTCGATGTAATCGTAGTGATATCAGATGATGTACTTTCAAAAGTTGAATGGCTATGAATTTGTGCAAAATTCACAAATACAAAAATAATGATTTGAAATACATGATTATTCATTATGATAAATCGATATAAAATTCTTCTTGTTAAAAAATGAAAACTCTTTTATATGAAAAAAAATTGCACTTCTTGTCATTCTTCCTTCTTTTTTTCTTTTTCTTTCTCTATTTCCATGGATGACTAATTAACCAAGTCAGTGAGCATTTTTTCATGGGTTTGCTTTTTATTCTCTTCCTCTCTTTATGAGTATAATTTTTGAAGAACTTGAAAAAATGTATATTATCGAGTAAATATCGAAACGCGCGTAATATAAATGCTTGACAAACATAATTGATTCTAATTGTGTATATGAAAAAAAAAAGTATTTTTATTTTTGAATTAATGTGTAAAGCAACACTTATCTAATGTTGATTCAGTTAGTTGTTAATCTTACAACTTCGCTGCGATAATGTATTTTTTTGACATGTGAAATGTTGCAGAAATATATAATATATATTGATAAAGACAGAAACAAGAAAATTTATTTCAATGATATTAAAATTTCAAGAGCAATTTTAACATTTTAGTAAATATATTCTTTGTCTGGATTGTTATTAACAATAATTTATTGTTTCTAATATATAAGATTAGTGCTTTATTTTCAAACAATTTGATATATTAAATATATGAATATAGAATATGTAATATATCGTATGTCAAATGTATTTTATTATTTAAGTCATGTATATGTATTTGAAAGAAAAAATTGTTGATAAATATTACAACAATTCAAATTGTAATTTTCTTTTTTTTTTGCAACAACAAAATTTTGTTTATTCCGGATCCAGTCGATGCCAATAAAGTGCATGATTTTTAAATCATTTTTCTGTTTTATTGATACAGTTTGTTTTCCTTTGATGTATCGCAATTATTTCAAATAAAATTTTTTTGTTAACCTTACTATAGCCCAACAATGGAACTCATAATGATGAATTGTTTTTTCTTTAGACAAACAATATTTTAACAATAAGCAGAAAGGATTAAAATAGAAAACAGATCCTATTTAAATTTCTACTGATAACTTTTCTATATTTTTTGTTTAACTTACATCTTCTTCGTTCTGATCATAAACCCAATATTAATTTCTCAGTATTTTTACTACTTTTATCTGAACTACCGGTTGTCTATATTCAGAGGAGGTGTGCTCATTGATTTTTAACTTCGGCTATTAGTTAAACAAAGCAGAGATGTCCTGCGCGGCTGAGAATCTGCCGCTGACACGGCGGCAGCGTCAGCACCGCCATGGATATCTCTGGGACAAAGAAATGTTCGAATCGATCTATCTCATGTGGAGCAAAACATCAATGTGATTGTGTTTTCGGATCTGAATATTATGCCTTGTACGAAATACTTAGAATTGACCACAAGTTCGTAGAACGATATTTAAATTTTTATAAAATACTCAATATCGAAAGATTTATTACATGAATACATAGCAAAATGTTTCGTCTATAATTCTAACAGTCTTTTAGATGAAGTCTATAATAGAGTGAATAAGTGAACATTCCTCGTTCAGAGTTTGAATATATTTAGGATTTACCAAAAGTTTTGATAACATCAAATAAAAATATATAAAGCAAGGGCTATATTTAGTTTTATTTTATTAAATGTTCAAAATAGCCACCATTATTATTTATACAAAATTCCATTCTTTCTAATAGTATGTCAAAAGTTTTTTAGAACTCTTTTTCTGGAATATTGTTCACAGGCACGTAGCCAAGGGAGAGACATATGTGCAATTGCCCATTTTATTTGGAGATTTGCTCATTGTAATTTTACTTTTTTTGAGAATGGTTTATTTATTTTTGAATTAGATAGTAAATCTATTTCTTTTTCTTCCGTCTGAATCACACATGCACTTTTTGTTTATTCTTTCTGTGAACAATTAAGAAAAGAAGAAGGAAAGAATCGCTTCTAATATTTTCACCAGGATTACTAGATGAAAAACTTAAAAATCAGAAAAAAAATCAGAATTTTTTCCGAAATCGGAAACTAATCAGTAAAAGTAACTTCTTGCAAACCAAGGGCTATCATGTTTGACATACTTGCACAAAATGCTTTACTTTTCTTGTTTATCGACTCATACTTTATTTCCAAAAGTATTTCATAGTAAAGAAAGAAAACACAAACATTATATAGCTTAGAGTGAAAGTTCGTGTACTATAAGCTAAGGAAATTGATCATAGTCAGATCAAATGAATGTTCACACTGTCAAACCAACTAATTAAAAATATGACCTGCCAATAGCGTACACAGACCGAGATATTTACATTTTAAGATATTTACAGTTTGTTATATGCCCACACTATGAAATTTCATCAACACTTAGTTTTCTTTTTTCGTCATGGTTGGATGGAACATGACTATTTGCATAAGAAGAAACAATATCACACATATTCAAAAACAATTTGACAGCAATTATAAAAAAAGATACCGCCGGCGGAAGAATAGTCCACATATGATTGGAAGTCTTTTTGATTAGACAGTCCTATACCGTTGGCGGTTGTTGTTCGTGACATATTCGAACAAATTTTGGATTCGAACCCGCATTCTTCAAATTATGAGTTTGATGCAGAGAACAGTCTCTCAGTCGGACCAACGGAAATTAGTCATATGTTCGAAAGACCATATTACCATATTGCTTCGGCGGTTGTATAATTTTGTTCATTTCTTCATTGACTTTTTGAGCATAAAGCACATTGTGCAATTCGATATTGAGTCATAGTTGTGCAATTTCTATTCTCTTCTTTACGACTGTCGCCTTTACATATAGAGAAAGCACGATTGTTTTGAAAAGAAATACATTTTTTTCATTTCTTTTCAACAAGAATATAAAATAACATACATGTTTTCAAATAAACTTCTAAACCAATGGATTGACTATTTAAAAAAAAAGATTGAGAAACTGACATATATTTCGACCCGAAAGAAGAACAAAAGTTTTTTAAGAAATATAACAATCGATACTTTCTTTTATACATCAATTCGACTTTGGTCTATATTATGTTTTGTTCAAATTCAGTGTGGATATGATAACAAGAAAGAATGATTTTTTTATTCTGCCTATCATTACACAATTCCATCATGTGTATAGCAAGCTAATATGATAGTTGAATCAACGAAACGAACAGTAAAACTATATTTGCTGGTTTCTATGGCATCTATCGCAGATATATTATCACCAGAGGAAAAGAAGCTATACATTGAAAATGTATCTGATAATACAAATAAGTTTTTACAATATAACGATATTAAATGAACCAAACAAATTGTTAGATAAGTAATTAAAAATGCAAACATTTTCAAAATGATACAACTTCAGAGTCCATGTATCAACTATAAAAATTGTTATAATTCTGATTTATTCATTTATTTGACATTTTTTTAAAATAAATTATTTTGAAAATTTCTGACAATATATCATAAACGTATAAAAGTCAGAGTTTGTGAGTTCTACTCTTTCGCTCAGCAAGGGGTTGCACTGGCAAGGTTTTCGCTTATTTAGATGTAGCAATCAGTACGCTATCCACGCTTCTCAGACTATTTTGGCGATGACTGTACGAGAATATGAACATAATTGACTGTTACTTTTAGAGCAGCAACTGTTGAAGTAGCTCTGTAAGTGGACTCGTACCGAAACTTGGTAAACAGGAAATTTTCCGATTCGAATACAATCATGACCCAAGTGGGTCCGGGTAAAATTACGTGTGAATACGGTCAAAGAGGAAACACCTACACCTGTAACGCAGGCTAGAACCTCAAGTAAATGTCGATATGGTGATGTTACACGCGAAAATGCCTCTGCATGGAAGTCTATGCGCCGAAGTGTGGAGCGCATTAATATTGGTGAACCTAAAAATCCTGTCTGCATACTTTACTGTGTCTATAGTGCTAGCATTCATCTTGAGAGTCACCTGATGAAAATCAGAGATGGATGAGTCAAGTCATTTTTCGAGTCGAGTCCAATCCAGTCAAGATATTTTTTCTATTTTTTCGTTTCCTGTTTATTTTTATAAAGAACGATAACAATAAGTTTTGCATGGCACAATATTTTTTCTAGCTTTTTTTATGTACAAAAAAAGAATAGTTTGACAAAAATAAAATGACACAACTACTATAGATTTATCAAAAAAAAAAAGAACAGTAAAATCAACTCTTCCCTTTTATAGAGTTACATAATACAGAAAAAAAACATCCCTTTTGTAAGCAAAAACCTAGATTTAAGGTCTCTCCTCAAAAACCGATCTCAGCCCAGATGCGTTCAAATTACATGAAATTTTCAGGATATACTCCCTCGCGGACAAAAAAAAACGCCTTTTTGCATTTCATTTTTTCACTATATAATACACTGTATTAAAAAAACAAAATATACCACAAGATGCAGCGTGAAAAGCTCTACAATTTACAACGAACAGTTTATTTTATAGTTGCAGTTTTCGTTTTCAAAATGGACAAAATTTTGTGCGGCTAATTGTACCAAAAACTTCTTTTTTTCGAAAAGTCAAAAACTAGTGCCTTCGAATTTTGTCCATTTTGAAAACAAAAAGTGCAACTATAAAACAAACTGTCTTTCGTAGATTGTAATTCTTTTCACGCTGCATCTTGTGGTATATTTTGTTTTTTTAATATAGGGTATTATGTAGTGAAAAAATGGAATGCAAAAAGGTGGGTTTGTATTCGCAGGGGACGGGAGCTATAGTGGAGAGGCTACGATAACATTTTCAGTTCGATATCATGATGTTTGACAGAGATATTCGTCAAACAAGGGTCAAAAATAGCTGATTTGGCATCCCAAATTTCTCTGTCCAGGCTCATTCTATATATTTAATGTTTTTTATTTAAAAGAGCATGTCAGGATGCGGTACGTGACCGAGCCCGTTTGTTTAAATCCTAATTTTTTTTAGCGATGAAAAGGAATCACAAGTTCAATGACTCAAAAAACTCTCAAGAAATGGACGTCTAATCATGTAAGTGTCTGTACATATAATAAAAACAAAGCTTAATTTAAAAAAAAGGGCTCGATTATGCACTGCGCCTTGATATGTTCTTTCAATCAAGCAAAAATTTAATATATCAAACGAGGCTGGACAAAGAAATTTCGGATGCGCGATCGAAAAAACGGAAAACATTTCCTGTTTTATCGGAAAAATGCATATTTTTCAACGAAAATCATCAAAAATTTTAGCTAAAAGTGAAGGATTAAATTAAAAATTATATTGTTTCTGAAAGAGCAAACTTCAGGCTATCTTTCTATGCATTTATCTTAATTTCGGAATTTTTGACGAAAACTGACTTTTTTTGAGGGGGAAGGAGAAGCCTTAAAGTTGTTAAGCAACAATTATTTATTAATATTTAAATTAATGTCTTATTGTACTTTAAAGATATTAAATGCAAATATTTGCTTGTGAAAATTTAGAACAATCCGATTTCATTAAACGATCGCTTTCAAAAAAAGCACTTTGAACTAGTACTGATGTAACAGAAACATACATGATGTTTCTAGCAAGGCTATTAAGAGATCGATATGAATTTACTCCTCTGAAAATAAGATCACTGGTTAAATTTTCTTCTCGCAGAAAACCATTAATTTCTTCTGAAATTGATTTTTATATTGAATAATCAACTTTTGCTTTTTTGAACGAATGACTCGAGTCCGAGTCATGACTCTGACTCGCCCATCTTTGATCTAATTTATATCCTTAAATATTATTTAGGTATCTTCAATCAACATCGATTTGACTATAAATTTTATTTTGAAATGCTCTATTATTATATTTTAATTATTAATCTAACTCTATTAGTTAATTCATATATATTCAAATATGAGACAAGTTGTAATTCATTTGAATTTAAGGATCTAGAAAATCTAATTGGTTCTTTACATAGATATGCACTTGATAATGGTCAACTAATTGTACGTGATATAGGTTTGACTATTGGACAACGAAAATTATTGAAAAGATATCAAAATATTGAAATAATTTCAGCGAAATATAAACAAAAAGAAAACATTCCAATGATAAATGTTAAACATGAATTTTTTCCTATAAATGAAACTCTTTTTAGTCGTTATAATAATGGTAAATATAATTATATTGATTCCATTCGAAAACGATTTTATCTTGCTATTGTTATTCCATTTATTCAAAGTCAATTTAATAAATTAATTGATCAATTAAATTTTGAAAAAATTTATTCACCATGTCGAAATCAATCAAATTCTATTGATTTAATATTATATCATAATGAAAAAATATCATCAATATTAGATAATAAAACTCGTCAAATTCATTATCAAAATAAATGTTTTAAAAATATTCGAATTTTTGCTGCAGACTTATCGGAAAATGAAAATTCATATCCAATTGGTAGTGCTATTATGTGGAAAAAATTATTAATCAATGAACAATTTAGCCGTACTTCATTACGTTATTATGGTTATACACATTTTTTTCTTATGGAACCAGATACACGACCAATTCGGTCATATTGGTTGGATATAATTGTTGAAGAAATAATTAATGGTCATGATAGAGAATCGTATATTTCAACACAATGGTGGATGATCGGATCGCTTTATCGTGGTTTCCAATCACTTGGACAAAATTATCTTCATATAAATGGAAATGCATTGTATCATTTATCATTAAGTTTTATTCTATTTCTTCAATATGTTTCATATGAATATCCATATGATTCGAAACAATCAAGTGGTTATGATCTTGATTTATTTTTATATCTATTTAAACATATAGATAAAGGAAAAAAATTTTGGCATAAATTTCAATTTTCAGATTTTATTCAAAATTGTTGGCATACAGGTTGTAATGAAATGAATGAAGAATTTTTATATAATAATCCTAATACATATCTTATTCATGGTAATAAAATTCAAGAGATATATTTTAAAAGTTTACCTATAAATTTGTCGATGATGAAAATATTAATATATATTTTATTTTTATTAATTATTGTAAAAAGATTTAAATATATTTGTTGGAATTTTTTTATACACGAAATTGTTTATTATCTATTATTTTTAAATAAACAAAAATAAAATAATAAAATAATTTATTTTTTAAAAACACCTGTTTCTAATTAAACTATAATAAATAAATAAATAGCACCGATTCAATGAATTAATTTAGAATTAATTAAAGATTTACAGTCATATCATTTAATAAATATTCCTAGTTATTTTACAAATGTACGACTACTTAATTATTCTAACTGATTTGTTTCCAACAAGAAGCACAAAAAAATTTAAAAAATGCAAATAGTTTGAGTACATGATATTTAGTCTTAAGCTCTTAATGATAAATATTCATTGCTCAATAATATATATTCATATCTACGTACATTAGTGCTCAAAATTATAGGTTCATCTGAGATTTTTGTGGTCTCCGAATGACACCATAGTTTGATTTATCTCTCTTTCATTGTAAATCTCATTTTCTTTTGCTACATTATTATTCGTTCCTTTTATTATGCTCATCTACTACAAGATCAGCCTCTTTATCGAAAGATAAGAAACATCAATTTATAATGTTATTCATAGATGGCGAAAGTCAAAACACCACCACGAGAATGTTCAATTAGTTACAAAACTACGTGAAAATATTTCCAGAAACGTTACGACGCATCTGTCACTAAAAAAATACCAAAAAAGTAGTCCAAAAGTTTCATCTTAATAAATACTATTTAATATCAAAACATTATCGACTCGTAAAATTCATCGTCAACTGTTGAGTAATGACTGAAAAAATTATTCTACTCAACGAAAAACTGCTTCGTAGTGTCGTGCAAAAGAAAAACATCTCGAGTTTGGTTATACTAATGATTGAAACTACGTTATCTGAAGTGATGCGGCTCATTTTGAACGCTCTTATTACAAGTAGCGAATATTAGTTCGATCACCAATGAACGAAAGTAAAAACCATTTAGTTATGTTCAATGAATTCAAAACGGTGGTATTGGTAGTAGCAATATTAGCGTATCGATTTGCATGACCAATGTGGAAGTTGATGCTTTCGTCTTCTACGAAGGTCTGTTATACAATCCAGTTTATATTCAGATAATTTGTGATACACTATCCTCATTTATTCAAAATACATTCGACTTGCAACGCGATAGCTAGCTGTTCATGTAAGATATGCTCTTGTCATACTTCAAAATTTTCTATCGATTATTTCGAAAAAAAGTCAATATCTCTCTTATGGATCGGTCATCTACATCACCAGATTTCAACCCTACAAACAACTTATGGGATATGATGGATGATCATCTAAACTTCGCGTGATCCAAAAACTTAAAAGAGCTTAGGAATATACTGATCAAATATGAACCGATTTATGTCTGAAGACGTGCAAAACACTGATTGTGTGTGCGTATGATTGAAGATCAGATCTTCATCCACACTCATACATAACCAGAGCTCGGCTGAGTCTTTATATCTTACTCAATAACATGATACATATCGACGAAATTTACTCGACATTTATCTATATTTATTACCTATACAAAGCATACTATCTATACTTTAAATTTTGTTTTTCAATTGATTTACGTACAAGATTTCTTTTTGTGATGTTTTTATTAAAAGTGATGGACGCATGTAAGAAAAAAAAGTGTTAAATAAGAGCCATGTGAAAAATTATTAATAAAATCATTAAAAGACCTAGTAAAATGATCAAAATATTGTACAAAATAAAACCATGATAGATCATGACATTTTTGTTTGATGAACTTAACATTTGAATCAGTCAAATATGATGTATTTCTTTTTCTCGAGAAAATGATACTGATCAATTTTGAAAACCTGAACATGATATTCTTCGGATATTTCCTATGTGTACATCAATGGTAACGTTTGCTCTTTGAAAAGTTGCTCATAATTATAATGACTCATAAAAAGCTGACGTACATTTATACTGAATGCATGAAACCTTTCTTTTGCATATTTGTTTATTCCATCTGCTATTGAATACAATTGAACAGCTCTTAGGTTGCATTACTCATGACGAGTACTTGATTAATTGATGAATATGAGAAACAAACTTGGAGTTAGTGAATTGAAATAAGGAAATGCGTGACACAAAAAAAAAGGAATGGACCAATAAGAAACGAATCTAGAGTTTTCCAGACACAGAAGGTTGAAGATGACACATTTTGTTATCTTTTGCTCTTAGAAGACATTCATACCATGCTACTTGTCTTGGTCCAAATCCTCCCCATGACCATGATTGGACAACTTTATACGATTTGTTATTATTATCTATCCATCTCCTATTCGACATATATGTAATCAGATAATGTCCAAGTGTGGTAAATTCAATAAAATCTTGAACTGATCTTACAACTGCAAGCATCGGCTTGTTGTGACGGCTTTCAATAAGACGTATTGTATTTTCGTATAAATCACGAGGATAAACGAATGGAAAACCTGTCATAGTCTCGTAAAGAACTGGCTCCAATAATAATTTTTCTGCAGGTTTTTGCCAAACACGAGAATTCATATCAATTTCGTTAAATCTACTGCGCTTAACGAATACTCTATTCTGTTCATCCAACAAATCCAATCGGGTAATAGGTTCTTTAAACATAGTATCCGAGTCCATATGAATAAAAAAATCAGCATCACTGTATTGATAAGCATGAAACTTTGTATACATTTGAGAATAATAACTACCATTATTTGGACCATTCTTAATATAAACATCATTTGTTGGTATTAGTTTTATAGGTAAAGAAAAGAACGGTAGATATGACTGAAAATATGCCGTTTCAGCAGATGAAAACGTAATTACTATATCACGATATAATGTACGTGATACATATTGTTCAATTGAACGTAGAAGAAATATGAGCCAATGACCATCACCATGCCAAGTGCGAACAAAAAAGTCCAATATAGGAGGATCGCGAGGAGACCATTTTACTTGTAATGTACCTTGAACATTATTTATGGCTTCAACATTTATAATGGAAGTGGTTGGCATCACTACAAATACTGGTGCATTAGACTTCACATGTTTTCTCACCAATATATAAGCAATGCATAATAGGCTAACGATAGAGCATATAACTATTAATTTCATATTGATGAAGTATTTCCTAGCAAAGAAGAAAACAAGGAGTTGACAATAGCCAAGTATAAAGAGTCGAGGGTCTGATGAGATGAACGTTCACAAGATAACTAGAAAATTTCTAGAAATGAAGCGTAATCCTTGCTCAAACAAAAATTCAGATTTCTGATAATTATTACTCATAAATATATTGCACCTAAGATCAGATCAATATGTCTATCGATCTAAATATTACCTTGTCCGGAAAGTTTGTGCAACTGAAATACTATGAAATCTTAGGTTAACAAGTATTGCATTTATTCGATCTAATGACCTTCGCTAGCGATCTCACGTTGCCAACGAGCTATGTATGGCTATTAGCGAAGGTCATTACATTGATTAAATGCAGCACTTGTAATCCTAAGGTTTCATAGTATATAAGTTGCACGGACTTTCCGTGGACACGGTAATATTCCTCATCACGGATACGTCTTAAAAACTTTTCTCAAATTTCTTTTGTAAGTCTTCACGCCTTCTTTCGTAGTTTTTTTTCCTACTGTCTCAAAGCGCTTCCAAATGCTTGAACTCTTATGTGACTCAAGGACCGTCTAGCGAAGGTTTTTTGCGGCTAAATAGGGGTCATATATCTAGTTGCCGTACCTTGTCGATTATTGGAAATAAATTGAAAGTAAGTACATTGACAAAATACTTATTTCTTTTCACTAATATCAGTACAGTTTTTAATATGTTATTATTTGTATTTTAACGAAAGCTACAGTTTTGACAATTCGAATTCTGAACAAAATCTTTTTATTAGTTTTTTTCTGAGATAATCGGAAAAGAAGACTGAATTTGATAATGACATATATATTCAGAAACATAAAGTTTTTCTAACTTCGATAATTATTCGCTAATATTCAGCTTTAGTCCGTATATGCTTTGAGAAAATTTATACATCTATTTATTATAGTAATAATTCATTTTTAAGAGCAGTAATTTTCATAATATCATGATAAAAGATTACCAGTAGGAGTTCATACTCAGGAAATGTTGATGATGGAAACTTCAGTTTCACATTGAATATATTGTATTAAAAGTCATAGCACAAAAGCTTAGTTAGATAGCATGCTCAATAGATGAAACGATTTTTCAACAATACATTACATTATGTGTCACTATTTTCTTTTTCAAATAGCTTGGTCGCCGGTTCTTCTCGAGTAGAAATCTGTCCAGAACTTATTTCAAATATAAAGCATGCAATCTAGTAAAGTTTTTGTGCTGCTACGTTTGATATAATTAGTTTTCAAAGTTAGGATGACTTTATGCTTTTGAATATATATTCTTGTCAAACGCAGTTATTTCTTCGTGCTATCCAACAGAAGAAAAACAATACAAAGATTTTTTTTTAGAATTTGAATTGCCCGAAACGTTCTAAGAATTAAAGAAATCAAATACAACTTGCATCAAAAAGATGAAACGATCCTTCTTCGAGTTATTTTACATTAACTTTATAAACGGCATGAAAGTTGTTTTTTTTTAATTTTTTAACTCAATCAGTTTTCTATGCAATAAAACCTTCTCAAGATCTTCTAAAGTTGTCATAATGGTGATACTTTATCTTTAATTTACTCGGTAAAATAAAGCGTTTAAAACTTAATTTTGTTTTAATGTTTCAAAGTAAAATATAGATAAAGTGCTACACCTAGACTGTAACAATCAAAAACAAGGAACAGTATCTACTTTTATAAATGTGTCAAATCTTTACTATATCTTTCATTAGTTCGTTCTCAGAGGTACAGAGAGAAAAGTAAAACAAATACTTGTTGCTCATTGCATTGAATTACAGTTCTGTATTTTTTAAGGAGATTGCTACACTATAATGTCCTGTGTAAACGTTTTTTCTCGTTTTGCATTCCCGTTCCCATAAAAAATTATTTGCTCCCGTTCCTGTACCCGTAAAAACATATTGTTTGTTCTCGTTCCCGTAATACTTTCAAACTTCTTATTGCTATCTCATTTTTTTTGTGTTTGAAAGAAACTATTGTCATCAGACCTTAGCTTCTGTCCACTTCGCACGTTGCGCAACGTGATATGACGTTCAATTAAAGAGGCAATTATCATCGAAATACATTAGTTATTATTTATTTGTCTAACACTATAAATATTAAATCAAGAGCATAACTTTTTTTTTCATCAATTGAACAATTGTAAAGAGAAAAAAAATACAAGCATATCAAGAACATAGAAGAAAAGCACCAAAACATTTGAGAGGAGGAGAAGAATACTATATCGTGAGATAATCTCTATAATAATCCTTTCAAAGGTGATAATTACAAAGAAAATAACGAGTAGCCCATAAATGATTATATTGTCAGTATTTTCAACATTTATCCTAATGATGGAAACACATTTTGAAATAAACATGAGATATTTTGAATAGACAAAAGAAATAATATTTTTCTTTTCATCATTTGTGTCTCACATACGTATAATAAGATAGATTTACAAGAAAAAACAGAGTCAAAAAATCTATTTATTCGATCATCAACGATTCGGTTCAAAACTTGTATTCTATAGTTGAGTATGAGGAAAACAAAATCATAAGAGAAAATAAAATTCAAGAAATAAAAAATTCAGCACAAACATGACATATAACAAGGACTAGGGCAAGACGATGGTAGTGATACAAATAAGGAAATTTCGATATCGTCTCCTACCAATATCGTCGACTTGATCTGTTCGTGTCACTATCACCAAAAGAAGAACAAATGAAATAAAAAAAAAGGAAAGAGTATAAAAATATAATTAAAAAAAAATATCAATAGTTTGTGTGTAACGAGATGGTTTTAAAGTCAATTTTTATTTTACTTTTATCTTACTAATTTAAGTTGAGTTATTTATATTTATATTGATTTGTTCTCCATCCTAAAATATTATCTATCCAATTAGTTATGTTATTGATTTTATTCGATTATTTTTAAAAGCTCTTTCTTTGAGCAAATAAATTAATAAATACAAGAAAACAATCTTCTAATTTTTTTCTGGGAATGATCCAAAGATCCTGTATTGTAAAATGACTTCAACATAGACGAATCTTTTTATTGTTAAAGAAAACTAAGCATGAGAAAGTTAATCGACACCTAAAACTTTGTCATTGCAACATTACATCGACAAGGTTTTTGATAATAATGATAACCTTACCTGTTTGGAATCATCTTTTTTAACTCTATTGCATATATATATATACTCTAGTTCAGGACAAGAAAGTGAAATAGATCCGATTAATTTGACCATTTATTAATTAAGATTTATATGTTTTCTTACATGAAAATGAAGAAGCATTACTTTTTTTTTAGTTTCGACTTAAGACGTTGAATATCTTGTTCAACATTAGCCAGCTTGTCCTTGGTGAATTTATCCTTATTAATGTAACATTCAGCTGCTTTTTCGTAATACATAAGCGCTTTCCGGATTTCAGAATTCTGTTCGTAAACGGAAGCCATATTTTCCCATGTTAAGGCAATTGATGGATGCCTGAATGAAAGAGACTTTTCTTTAATTAGAATCGACTGTTCGAAATACTGTAGCGCTTTTTTGAAGTCCCTAGTACTTCTGAAGACAAGACCCAGATTATGTAACGACGTAGCCACATCTGGATGATCATAAGGACGAAGTTTTCTACGAATCATCAAGGCCTGATTATGGTACTGATATGCTTTGAAATATTGCTTCTGACTGTCGTAAATCGTACCTATGTTACTGAGACACGTGGCAATGGCTAAGTGTTCTTCACCAAAATTTTGCTTCCAAATCTCCATAGCTTTGTTATAGTGTTTAAGTGCTTCTTCACGAGTCTTTTGCTTTGCATAGACATTGCCAATACTATTGTAACTATCGGCAAGATTAGGATCATCCCTTCTGAGAATTTGTTGTTTTCGATTTAATGCTAATTGATACCAATAGAGACTTTTTGATAAGTCATATTTTTCGAATGCAAGATCTCCAAGTTTAGAGTACAAAGAAAGAATATCCTTATGATCATCAGGCATCGTATCCTGTAGATAACGAAGGTGTTTTTCAGCTTCGTCAAGTTGATTCATCTTCATTAATTGCGTGACGAACGCAAGACGTTTCTGTTCATGTCCTACGACAAGATTTTCCAATTTCATATGTTCGACAGTGAATCTCAGACTATTTTCATTTTCACTGCATAATTTCATTTTAATGACCCAAAATTGATCATCATGACGGTTCACGTCAAGAATCCGATAGATAGATCCGACTGTCATGAGCACTTCTCTTTCGTCAGGATGTGCACTAAGCAGGGAGACGTCAGCAAATGGCTTGACTCCTTGAAGTCGAGGATCAGCATCAATTTCGAAGAAAACTTGTGAAAAGTCATCCGAAGGACCGACAAAGTTGCGAGCTTCCGTTGCACTGAGACTTGTCGAGACAAATGAAGTCATTGAAATCAATTTTCCTGTTGCATTTAACAATCCATCAAGTTCTTCCTTCGATATCAATTGACATCGATAAGTCCGAATCGGTTGTTTACATTGATGCTTTTCGATTGCTTTCCAAAGATCTGCCATAAAGAATCGCATAAGATAAAGCAAAGAAGTATCTTGTCTGCGTAATGCTTTGTTCAACATTCGATAGAGAAACGATTCCTTCGTATACCACCATAAGGCTTGATCAGATTTATAATTTCGCTTGAATTCACGAACATTCTTCATTTCTTCTTTATTGTCTTTATACTTTTTTTCACAGATCGAAATCAATTCTTGTTTATCTTTTTCAGTACCTTCTATACGAAGAAGGGAATCTAACAATAATTCAAACTGAACATATTG